GTATTTCGTAGCTGTGTGCTACTTTTCTTCATTGGAGCTTGTGCGTGTCATATTTTTTGCTATATAAAGTGTTCATTTTTCTGTATCTCAGTTTTCATATTTTTCACTAGTCTGAACTCCCATGGAGTCCATTTCCAGTTTCTAGTTGCTTTTCCGAGCTTTGTCGTCCTCATGTATTTCCTGCGCGAAGCGTCGGTCTTCGGATCGCTTTTGCGTGGAAATCCATGAGCATGATGCCTGCTCGAGAAAAGGAGTTCATTTTTTAGTTTCTATTTGCTTTTCTGAGTTTGGATCATCCTCGTGTATTTCCTGCGCGAAGCGTCGGTCTTCGGATCGCTTTTGCGTGGAAATCCATGAGTATGATTTCTGCTCGGGAAAAGGGGCCGTAGTTCTCTCCGGGGATGCTATTTCCTTTGCTTCCGCGATTTGCGCGCTGGGACAAGTTGGGCATATCTTTTCTAGGCTTTCCCTCTTTTGTGTTTTCCTCTCATCCTGCCTTGCCTGCGCGAAGTGCTGGTCCTCAGGATGGCTTTTGCGCGGGGGAAAGCGTTTGAGTATGAGAAGGAGCACATGTGATGGGACGAGCTAGGAAGGGATCCCTGCCTGGCCACCTCGGCTGCGCGGCTGCAGGTCGCATTGGGAAGACGCAAACCTAGAGTTTGCTATAGCCATATTTTTTGCCTCTTAGGAGTTTTCTTAGTATGATTTTTTTGCGTGCCCGGGTTTTTCCTCCCACGCATTGCTGAGCTAGCTGGAGGGTTATTTTTGATAGCCCGGAGCCCGAGGCACGACAATCTACGTCAATGAAATGACTATTTGTGAGTAACGCCCATGTCCAACCTTTTGCAGGGTTTGATCCACCATGCGGCATGCGGTGTGGCGAAATGCAGGTTTGCCCTAACACGCGCTCCCCATTTTTATTATGTTATCAACTGTAGCTTTAAAACGCATCATTCTGAATCAGACAGCAGTGGGCAAGGGTAATTTTTATCGTAGATTTCGAATTTGCGTTTACTTAAACCGGTTACGTGATGGGAATCCGAGAAAAATCGCTATTTACATGAGATGTTCCAGAAAAGTACTAAAAATATTTAGTTCCGTCTGTCAAATGAACACATTTTTGTAACTTAAACGTTCAACACTTCTTAAAATTTTTGCCACCTTCCCTCTTCCTTTCTAACTGGCTTCGTGAGGAGCTTTATTCAAATTCAAATTTGTATATTTTAGCACTATCTTTTAATACTTATGAAAAAAACAAAATTAAAAGAAATAGAAGAGACGGGATTTTAAACAATTTATCTATTTTTCCCTTCATGACTGAACAATACTTAAACGTTCAACTACTTCTTCCACGTCCATTTTTTCCTCTTCTTCCTCTTCGCTTTTCTCTATTGCATCTGATTCTGTCCCTTCTATAGTTTCACATTTCTCATTAATAAAAACTGTATATGTTCGGTGTTTTATTAGTTCACAATACCTGGAAGGTCACCGATGCTAATTTTGTTTTCATACATTGAAACTTTTGCTGTTTCGTTAGGTGAATGGATGACACGGTGAAAGAAAAAAAACCACACACAATAAAACTAGATTTCAGTCTGCATCCAGTGACAATCTTTAAACGTAATTATCCTATTTTGATCTTTGACCTTTTACTTGCACGATGGATCCTACAGAAATGAAAAATGGAGCTCTTGCATGTGTCAGGAGTTTGCAATTTAAGCATTCACACATAAGTAAAATTTCGTGAAAAACACGATGGCACCACTAGTTTCCCCTGAAATCGACTCCAAAGCTAAAAAAAGTTCCCAAAGTTGAGGCCATAATGGAGAGGATATTCCACACTACCCTGAGAATCACCTCAAGACAAACTCTCTATGCAAAGATAGGAAGCTAATACATTAACTGAGTTGCCGTGTTTTCAGTTTTGGAGTCCCCTGACAAAGTGGCAACCCTATTAGTGTATTTGCGCCCTATCCTTGTGTAGAGAGATCGTCTTTATATAGAGGTGGACCCTCAGGGTACCCAGATGAAAATTCCAACGTTGACAACAACGTAGAATTCAACGTTTCCTGTGAAACATTCCACGTGGATAGCGACGTGTGCCGGAACGTGTAATTCAACGAGGGTGTCCACGTATTAAGTATCGTCCCCGGAACGTTCCCGCGTAAACGTTGCAGCGACACCGTTAACAGGAACGTTGCATTATCCGTTGCGGTGACTACATTGCACGAACGTGTAGCGCAAAGGTTGCAGTAAAATTAGAATCCAGCTCATTCGCATAACATAGTGCAGCATTTACTTTTGGACTTTTCACAGTTCGTGCGCCTTTTTCCCTCTTAACGTGTTTACGATTCGAAAATTTCGTTAATTATCTAATTACTTGCGATAAATGATGATTACTTAAACAAAATACAACCACTCACTTCATGAGTACGACTTTCATTGAGGTATACGTACTAGAGAGGGAATACTTAAAGCGCTTTCGGTTTTGGAGTAGGACATGAGATCTACAGGTTAAAATTGTAGACATTGAATTGAGACACACAATTAGGAACGGACTAGTGTAAACTAGATAATTAAAGAGCCTTTCATGAATATAAATAACACTTAGGAAAGCATCACTTCACGCACAACAGTAAACTGCAAAAATCATTTGGTACGTCGAGATCATGATAACAAAGGTAGACACACTCGAACAGTCACAACCTCCGCTCATTAGACTGATTCCAGGAACTTGGTTGGTACCGACATGGGCTGCGCATGCGCAGTTGACTCTTTGAGCAATCAGCGCCGTGAAAGCGAAACGTTTTCGCACCACACATTGGACCACGTGGATTTCAACGTAGAAATAGGAACGTTACGTTCCACGTTAAACGTAGATATCTACGTCCTTGAAACGTCCGATGTTATCTGGGTAGCGTAGGATATTCCCTCCATTAGGGCCGCAACTTTGAGAGCTTTTTTTCGAGCTTTGGAGTTGATTTCAGAGAAAATTAGTGGCACCATCGTGTTCCTCGCAAAATTAACACATGGCAAAAAAACAAAACAGTATTTAAATCGCAAATACCTAACACCTGCTAAAGCATTGGTCTAGGGGTGTTCAAACGAATTCTTGCCGGAACACTACCGGTATCGTCTCTTACCGAAACTGGTGGCAGTACTGACAATGGCGATGATATCGGTAACAGCCCGCCTTATCGGAGTTTTGAGAGCTCGCACTCAATGCATTGTTGCCCCGTATGTCGGTTTGTCAGATTGTCTGGCGCGGTGGCATGTAAAATAGATGAACAAATGGCAACAGCTTATTTTCGTCAGTTCCGAAAACTCAGATCGCTATCGGTAAGAGCGCTCTTATCGGAACTTTTTTTGACGGAACTGTTTCGGTAACTTACCGACAACCCCTACATTGGTCGCGCAGAGTGATAAGAACCGATTCCGCGCACCAACCTCACATCAGATAGCCTTATCCTGCCGTCGGAATGGCAGATATTGGTAGCTAAAAATTGCTCAGGAGGGTGCTCAAAGGTCCTGTGGGTCTGACCAAACAAATCCCAGCGTGGCACTCCGTGGCACTTGCAACGAAAGTTAATGTAAAATTTTATTTTCAGAATTTACGAAGTGAGGACTTTCAGAAGGTATAACTCGTCTTCAAAGCCATTCAAGACTACATGTTAGCAGTGAAAAATGATCAGCAGCTTACTTAGAGTGAGGTTACGTCATTGGAAAAGGTCTCATTAAACTTTAGGCAAGGACAGAGGAGACACAAACATTCATGCGTTTTTAGAGGAAATATTAGATTGCCAAATTAGCAGACTTTGGAAGCCTCTACCGTCAACATGAAGGGTGAAAACTTAAAAACCATGATCAAATCCTTACAGTATAGTACTCGTGGAACACATTTCCGATCCTAAATATTCAGGATTCGGGAATAGCTTAGGTCCAACTTTTTACCCATATCGCCACACCGTGCAGCACTTGCAGCAGCGGCTTAAAGTTCAAAATGGTCGATCATTGGTAACCTTAGTTCTTTTGAAAATCTAACGACAAATCATTTTTTTTTGGCCAAAATACTTAGAGATACCGAATTTCAGACAAGTCCATCAGCAAAAAACCGAGTTGCCAATTTTGGCTTTTTAAATTTTAATTGACCGCCATTTTGAAACGGTTTAGATAATGACTTAGGGTTTGAGCGGCAAATATGTTCTTGTTATATGCTCCTTTGGATGAGGCATCACAAGGGGCCTTCGTGAATGAAAAAAAGTTAAGGTCTGTTACCTCCCCCCCCCCCCCCCTCCCCTTTAGGATCCTCTACAAATTTTAGGGAGGCCAAACAACAGCTCCCTTTCAAGTGGAGCATTCCCCAAGTTTCAAACGTTTATCTCAATTAGGTAAAAAGTTAGAGGAGTGGAAGGACTTTCCGGACTTAGGAATTCAGCGCTGAAAAATACCCAGGAATCAAATCAGAAACTTCCTGCAATACGACATGGCCAAAAATTAGCAAGGTATGATACCTATTAAGTAAGAGAGGGGTACCCGCAACTGCTGAGAGAAATTGAGAGTTGTGATTGGTTGCATCATGGTCATTTTGCCGATTCACAGATAACCTTTCTCATTCTTTCAGGTGTCGATAGGAAGAACAATTTGCTAGCTACATCTCATGCGACCCTTCAATTTTGACAGAGTTTCCTCCAATTTTCAACAAGCCGAAGGACTCGTGTAGAGCTGTAGGAACTCTTTGACACGTAAACAAAAAAATCACGGATGTGGCGCCCCCTGCGTGGAATAATTTCTTACAGCATACCGCTGAGGATTCACCTTAACGTGTCAAGGAAAGGAGGTCAAGCCACAAGTAACAACACGATTTGTGGACTTTCTTTCCCCATGATGCCTTGCTGCAGCTCTTATGTATATCTATTCTCTTGTACCAAGATAACTGTAAAAATAAGAGTACTTACCTAGGAATCAAAAATATTTATGAGGACAGAAAAAAAGAGTCTTACCTCCCAAAGACAGTGTACTTTAGATCTAAATAAGGTTGTGCGGCATAGGTAAAAAAAAATTGACTTCCGTTAGTATTTGGGCCATTATTCGCCATTGAAACCACGCCTCTTTCATTGTGCTAAAAAGTAAAAGAAAAAAATATTGACAAAATAATAAAAGAAAATGGACACAAAACTTGCCAAACCCAAAGTTGAAGATAAAACTTGTCCATGTTTTTCCTCCTTATTCTTGCAAAATAATAACAAAGCACGGAAGTAGACATAAAATCTATAAATTATGACGAAACCAACCTTCAGATTTTCCTTGAATTCATCCTCAAATTTTCGACTCCAGATAGATGTGCCACCTTTCCCTGTATTCGTAGGATCTCCAGTTTGAACGATGAAACCTTTTATATTACGATGAAATGTACATCCATTATAATAATTGCTGGCACACAGAGCGAGAAAATTCTGTAAAAGAAGTTTTGGAGATCTTTATTTAATTCTGTAAAAGAAGTTTTGGAGATTTCTAATTAAGTCCAAACCCTTTGATTGAATTTAAAACCCCCATTCAAAACTTTATGGGCGTTTTGTAGTGGTACTGGGGCATCAATTTCGGCCAGTTTGATAGCTTGAATCGTTCATCAACATATTCAAAATGGCCGGCATGGCGGAATTTGGGAGATCTCAGGTACCTACACCTTCTAAAAACCTGCAGAGTACGGAAAAATGCGTCATATGAAAGCATGTTATGATGTAGGGGGGTATTGTTTAACGTACTGTTCATTTTTCCTGTTTTCAAGGACGTGCGTCTTCGGAAAGTAAAGTTATGAGCGTTCCCGAATTTTAAAATTGCAATAAATTTTTTGATCAAAAATGTTTGGAAAAATGGAAAACGACATGTGAAAGAGCGCGAAAAATCACGCGGAGAAGGCACTGCACAACACTTTCTAGAAATGCGTCATTTCGACGCTACAGAGCTTTGAAAACGGTTCGGCTTTTAGAAGCTCCTTGCTCGGTAGGAAATTGTTACTGCAAGGACTGCAGCATGGCGTATAGCAAAGAAAGCGCATAGTTCACTTACGAAGTGTCTTCGGGCATATGTGTCCAAGAAAAGAAAGTGTCATATTTTGTCCAACAATGTTCGACCGAAAGTTGCCGGATTTGGCAAAAATGGCCTCAGATTATGGCGTGTAACTTGCCAAGAATTGATCCAGCGACAAAATTGGTTATTTTCAAAGTTAAAGCTCCTTAAATTATCTGTACAGTGGATTCAATGCTGCTTGCTTATGGCAAAACTGTTTGCTCATCGCATACAAACAATGGAAACAATTAGAGCTACGGGGTATTAGGCCTTTCTTGCAAAAGCCTCCTTCAAAGTCAAGACATACTGGAGCTAAAGGTATCTACAGCAGAAAAAAATGCGCCAGTTCACTTAAGCGTGCACAAGAAAGAATGTCAAAATATGATATAAGAATTGAAAAATCAGTCATACCTCACATGTTCGTGGACATGATTCACAATTTAGTTCTAATTTGATGTCGCCCAAATCAGTATGCAACGTCACTGCCTATGTAAAAAAAGAGGGGGGAAATCACTCAATTAGACATATATGTGAAGCATACATACTAAATTCAAATTATTTTTACTTTTTCGCCCTGTATCAATGCTTTGGTCATGGTGCAGAGGCACAAACAGTCACTGAAAGTAAAAACGTTGGTCACTAGGAGGCTTGAGAATTTATTTAATACAAGTTACCACCGATCTAACAGAAGATCGTTCCGTAATTGTGAATTGACAGTGAGACTACAGAAGGATCACGTACAAAGGCACAAATAGCCACTGGTAGTAAAAACGTTGGTCACTAGGAGGCTTGTGAATTTACTCATTACAAGTTACCACCGATCTAACAGAAGATCATTCCGTAATGAGCCTGTTGCAAACTTTTGCTAGAGCAAAAATAAGAGTTGTTTCTTATAGATAATGCCTCAAAAATCACGATGAGCGCATCGGCAAAGTCTGAAATGCACTCATAACTTCACAATCTGCGTAAAAAATTTGCGTTTTTTTCAGCTTCCCGCTTCAAAAACGATACTACGACACAGGTGAACATTTTGTTGGAGGAGTCGCTCCATCGTCGACGATATTCATCATGGCCGACACTTGCGCGCAGTTCCGCGCGTAATTCGAGGAGAGTTCAAGGTCAATCAATTCGGGCGTGGAAAACATGAACGTTAAAACACGCCGACTGTTATCTGGTCTAATCCAGTTCAGGTATTATCTCGTCCCATCACACGTGTTTTGGCGGATTGGCGTCGGCCATGATGAGTATTGCCGACGATTTTTTTTTTTTTTTTTTTTTTTTTTTTTTTTTTTTTATTTGCACAATAGAAATTTCGTACAATAAACACTTTTAGAGTTCATATAAGTCTTTTAAAAGCTTGTCTTAATTGTCTAAATAATGTTAAACTAATTCTAGATACATTTTATAAAAAGTACTACCTTTATAATATTAAGGAGAAAGGATAAAGACAGATTTACTTCAAAGTAAAAAGGCCTTATTAATTTATCTGTGTAGAATTGGGCGACCGGACTCGGTCAAAGCCCGAAAAACCTCCGATCACGTCCTAAGAGCGTAGAGAGGCACGATGATTAATATTATGAGAATTTTGAGAACCCCTGGATTCCAAGCTCATGGGGCTTGCGGCGTTTTAATCGGCGGAGGCATCGGTCCCATTCCAAGAGCGCGAGCGCTTCAGGGTTGGGGTGCCGATGCAACCTGCTCTCATATGCGGTGTACATCTTGGTGATGTAGTCCTCCACAGAATCAATGTCGAGGTCTGCCCGAATATCGACATTCCTCTCGTACTAACGAGCTTTAGCTATGCTTCTCAGAATTTTCATTTGAATTACTTCAATCTTATCTAAAGTTTTGGCTGCACAACCCCACAATTGGCAGCCATAGCTCCAAACAGGCCTCAACATTGACTTGTAGAGGAGTAACTTGATATTTAAAGGTAACCGTGACTTTCGTCCGACGAGCCACTGCATATTAGAGAACTTTAAACGTAGCTGGGCTACTTTCTTTTTAATATGGGTGCCCCACCTGAGCCTGGAATCCAGGTGAAGTCCGAGATATTTGGCAGCTGTGTCGTGTGGAATTATATCGTTCCCTAGGGAAAGTGGAATGTGTTTATAAGGGCGATTTGTAAAAATTACTTCTACCGATTTTGTGGCATTTATCTTTGTTTTATCTCTCAAAGTCCACTTGCTGAATTTCCGACGATGGAACGACCCCTCTTACAAAATGTTCACCTGTGCCGTAGTATCGCTTTTGAAGCGGGAAGCTCAAAAAACCGCAAATTTCTTACGCAGACTGTGAAGTTATGAGTGCATTTCAGACTTTGCCGATGCGCTCATCGTGATTTTTGAGGCATTATCTATAAGAAACAACTCTTATTTTTGCTCTAGCAAAAGTTTGCAACAGGCCCATTGTGTATTGACAATGAGGCTACAGATGGATCACGACTGTGGTGTTCCGAAATCTCTATTCCTTCCACTTCCACTTTTAAAGGAACGCCATTGAACATTTTTGAAGAAAAACAGGATGAAAAGGGGGTTATTCAAAATCGGCGATTTTGCAGCCGCCCCCCCCCCCTTCTCATGGATTTTGCCCGAAGTTGGAAATGTCGTTCCCTATCACATGACACGTCTTTTTCAGGCAGTGGCAAGTTCAAAAACAATTTTCCCCGCCCGCTACAGCGTTTCCAAGTGGGAGGCTGACAATTCCGTAGATGGCATTAAAATTGAGCTTTGAAGTCCCGATTTGGACGGAATTTTTTAAAAAAATGTGTACTTTAAAGATGCGTTTATGTTTTTTATGTTGTTGCCAATTCTTCGATTTTTGAGTTCGTCAATTTTTAAAAATCCGCAAATATCTCAAAAGGGCTATTTTTAAAAATCCGCAAATATCTCAAAAGGGCTAACTGTTTGGATTCGAATAAGCAGTTATGTCATCAATAGTGTAACTATAATCTATAATCTATAATAACTATAAATCGTGTCGACTGCATATCATACATTGGCGGAGATATGGGAGGAAGAGAATGAAATGAAGAGGTGAATCACATAAGACAAGTCATATAATATGCTCAATTGAACTGAGAAACGAATAATAAATGGATCGTGGATGCAGACATGATACAGTTTTTGAAAAGAAGAGAAAGAAAAATGAAATTGAAGATAGTTGTGCTTGACAAAGAGGTGCAATAGCACTACTCACTGAAATTATTGAACTGCCGCAGCGACCCGCAATTCCCCGGCCGCTACGCTTCCCATGCCAGAGTTTAAAAATAAAAAGTTAAAAACCGGCGCTCCGCTTCGCTCCGCGCCGGTTTTTGGGGGGGCTTCGCCCCCCAAGCCCCCCTGGGACACGCGCTTCGCGCGCGTTTTTTAGTTTGAGTGTCCGGCCTCAGTTGTTGTGTCTGTTAAGTGACCCGCGCGTCCACCGCGGGAAGAGTGTATTTTCCGAAGGGAGGGGCGGGGCCAAGCTTGAATGACGATGAATAAATCTCCATAACCCACTGTGCGACCACATTGCCGTCTTATCCACCAATTTTCAGTTCATGACCCACTGTGCGACAACAATGCTGTCTTGTCCACCAATTTTCAGTTCGTGACCCATTGTACGACAACATTGCCGTCTTATCCGCCAATTTTTAGTTCGTGACCCATTGTGCGACAACATTGCCGTCTTGTCCACCAATTTTGAGTTCGTGACCCACTGTGCGACAACATTGCCGTCTTGTCCACCAATTTTGAGTTCGTGACCCACTGTGCGACAACATTGCCGTCTTGTCCACCAACTTTCAGTTCGTGACCCACTGTGCGATCACATTGCCGTCTTGTCCACCAATTTTCAGTTCGTGACCCACTGTGCGGCTTCCCTCCTCTTTTGCCGCACACCCCCCGCCTAAAACTTTCGAAGCTCGCCATTTTTAAACGGCTCGACCGATTTCGCTCAAATTCAATACCAGCCTAGAACTAAGTAAGATCTTCCTTCTGTAAAAATTTCGAGGGGAAAGCTTTTAATTTGCGCGAGTTATTGCGCCCACAAAATTAAACCTCCCCCCACTTCTCGCCCCCACCATTCGAAATGTAATACTTCGATCTCTGTTTTTTTTTCGCAGAATGGTAGTCCTGTTCCTCTACTTTACATCGCAAAAAGTTTCACCCGGAAATTTTTTAAAATGAGGGAGATAAAACCCAGCAAAAATCGGAAAAACCACGATGAGTCGGAAATACATACATAAATAAACACACACACACACACACACACACACCCACACACACACACACACACCCTCACACACACACACACACACATATATATATAAAATAACAACATGAATTCAAACGGCATGCATATTCGTAATCTACGACCCATGATCGATGCTCATTACATGGTCTTTGGTCCAGGTCTGACATCAGGGGGGAACGCAATAGTGTATTTCCTTCGGAAAATACACTAAAAAGAAAAAGATGCGCGGCTGCCGAATTCAGGTTTCCCGGCGGACTGAGCTCAAAACCATTCCGCCGGTGAGCGAGATCTTAATCTTGCGACACCGCGCGCTCGAGCCGTGCGCTGTCATATGAGTATAGCATAACCATGGCAAGAGCGATCCGGCCTTCCGTCTCCAAAATCCGCGTGACCTACTAGGAAACTGGGTCGGCACCGGTACCCTCGGGGGGCTCCCGCGGCTCCCCCGTTGCGGACCCCCGGGGGGCGTTTGCACCGCCCAATGCGGGACGAAGGGGAGAACCTCCGGTCCAAACGCGGCTCCGATCGGCCCGGCAGGAAGGGAGCCAGGCCGATTTCTCCGAAAACCGTCGGAGGGCACCAGCGCACCCCCGGATGGAGGGATCGCTAAATCCAACCTGACCGAACGTCGCCGACCCGCAGACGGGACCGGGAGCCCGAGGGACGAACGGGAAGGTAAAAAGTTAGACGCTCCGTGTGGGGGTCGTAAATAACGGCCTTTCGGGGCGCAGCGCCCCTCCGGAGAAGTTGGATTAGCTAATTCTCGGAACTTAAGCTCCGGCCGCCCGGGGGCACCCGCGTGCTGAATCCCAAGCCGAAAGGACAAACGGGGCGGGAACGGCGGCGGTTTTCCCGAAAAAACCCTTAGGGGCTGCAGCAACCCCCCGGAGGGTCGGACCGGAAAACCCGGCGGGGAGACCGGAGACCCGGCCGCAAGGGTCCCGCCGGTGGATTTTCAGGGGCCTGGGACACNAACCTCGCAACATGAGTTTTCAGGGGTTTTTAGGGTCGCTGAGTGCAAAAATGCTAATATTCTTCAGGAGAAATCCATTTTTAACATTTTTATACTTTATATAACTGTGGTAATAATTTGTTCAGAAACCTTAAATTGAGGCTGCTAATCCAAGTTGAAGCGGTGGAGCAGTTGGCATCGCATCTCACTTATCTTCTTGATGTCCCGGGTTCGATTCTCGGTAGAATTTTTTTTTTTTTTATAAGTTTAAAAATTAATTTTACTTTGGATGGACTATAAGAAGCTAAAAGTAGAGCCTCGTCAAACACTACTATCAAGGGAACTTGAAAAAGACAGCTCAGGATAATACCTACTTCTACGTTTCATGGCTCCAGAGGCCTACTTTCAAGTCCCACCAATCAGCCGTTCGAACTTGTTTTCGTTCTGCCAAGCGAAACTTAAGCTTAAATATATCCATTTTGATAGATTATTTGTTTGAAACATGGGTAAACGTAAAAAAAAAAGTTTACGGGACCTCAAAGTGGCTTCCTAAGACAATTTCATTGCTCGGGAGCCTTACTTTCAAGTCCCACCGATCAACCGTCTAGACTTGTTTTCGTCTGCCAAGCTAAACTTATGCTAACACATATCTACACTGATAGATTATATGTTTGAAACACTTAAAACGTCAAAAAAAAAAACTTTTACGGGGCCTCAAAGTAGCCTCCCGAGGCGATTCTTTGCTGTTCTTGAGCACAAAGTTTCAATTGGTCCCGATCAACCCCATCAACTCGTATTATTCTGCCTGGGCAGATTTAGGCTCTAATGCATTCGATTTGCTAGAATCTGACAATGGAACATGATGAAAGTCATCGTCAATGGCATATGATAGCTAATTGTAGTAAGTGATAAGAAACGCGAAAACGTCATTTTTTATGAGAAATAACTTGAGGCTATGGTGGACTATGGTTCTGCCACTCAGACTAAAAGGTAGTATAGAGTCATGACACTAACTTCCGAGTAAAATTACGAGGTGCTCAGAGGTGCAAAAGATATTTTTTGGGTCCTACTTTTGCGATTTTATTGAAAAAAGTGACTATGTCTAAGGGTTAATCTAGAACATTAGATATGATGAAAAAGAACAGTTTCAGCATGAAACATCTTAAACTTATCTTGTATTTTGTGAATCAAGTGCCCAAACACTTCAGGTACGGTGAAACGACGAAAACAAGCCCTTAAACACAGCAATGCCGCTCGGTAACTGGAATCGCACTCATAAAGTTCTCCGCGCGCCGCACTTCCCAGGCTTGTCACATCTTTATTAGTGCTTTAATCGAAGTGAAATTTTACAGGAGTCTTCTCTACAGTATGTACTATCGATCTACCTCTTAAAATCTAACTTTTTCCAAACTTCACTTTTTCGATTTATTGCCGCTTAAACCGGCTATTCGGACCATAGTGTGGCGGTTTTCCCGAAAAAACCCTTAGGGGCTGCAAAATTTTTCTGTATAGTGTTACATTTAAAATACACAGGATTTTAAAATAACATAAGTTTATAAAACGTGGGAACGTGCTGAATGATATTAAGATGTTTGTTGAAGAGTTAAGAATGATTTACACGCATTGAGAGAACATCCATGGTTTGAGCGTTGGACTGCCGGAGTGTGTTCTGAATTAATAAGTAGGTAAGTTTCTTCTGTAAATCAATTGTTTAGTGACTTAGGATCATGTTAAAAGCTGTAACGGTGCACATTGTTACTTATTAATTCAGAAGATACTCCGGCAGTCCAACGCTCAAACCATGGATGTTCTCTCAATGCGTGTAAATCATTCTTAACTCTTCAACAAACATCTCAATATCATTCAAAACGTTCCAACGTTTTATAAACTTATGTTATTTTAAAATCCTGTGTGTTTTAAATGTAACACTGTACAGAAAAATTTATCGATAAAGTCTGGTAACCGAAGAAGGATCCTACGTCTACTTTCCTTGCCTCCAGCTAAAACATACAGGTCTCCTCATCTCATCAGTATTGTCAAAGGTAAGTTTTTTTCATCATCAATGATTGATACTATCATTTTGGTGTCTTCAGTGAAGTATTAAAGGGTGAAATATTAAGAAATAACAACTGACTGGGTTTTTTAACAACTGACCAGGTTTGAGCATTGGACTGCCGGAGTGTGTTCTGAACTCATAAGTAACAAAGTATACCTTTACAGCTTTTAACATGATCCGAAGGCACTTAACAATTGATTTACAAAATAAATTTACCTTCAAATAGTGACAAAAAAGTAAAAACTCATGAAAATGGCTAAATATTGAGCTGATGTCAATTTCTGTTATCACTAAGCAGATGTAAACAATCGCCCATTGAGTACAGTCTTCCTTAAAAATAGGGTTTATCCCGTCGGTTCTTATTTATCTAATGAAGGTTTTGATCATTTAAACTTACGAGGAATCCATTTCTGATTTCCATTTTGATCAAAAAATTATCGATTGACTCGATATTTGCATTTGAAAAGCGGCTGTCATTTCCTTACAGGAAAAGACATTGTAAGTGATGAAGAAACCAGGTCTGTCGAACCATTTCACGTCACAAGTATGCCTGACCCGAACGACCGTTTTGAAAATCTAAATTCTGAGGCGTTTTTAAGTTGATTTTTTGGGGGTTTCCGGTGATCATAAAACTCCGGGAAAATTCCTGTGACATCAGGAGCCTTAGTTCTTTCGATTGAAGCAATAAAAAAAATTGGTGCAACAGGCCCATTATGTCATTTTTGACATAGTCGTCCCAATGGATCCCAGTAAACCCTCGAAGGATGTCACTTTGAATGGACTGAATCCTATGGATATTTGTCCTTAAGGCGCACCCCCACAACTGGCATCCATAGGTCCAGACCGGCTTCAGTATCATGTTAGGAGCCCTATCATGTTCATGCCTTAGTTCTTTCGATTTAAGCAATAAAAAAAATTGGTGCAACAGGCCCATTAATTAAGGTACCACTTCTTCTAGTTATTCATCATTCATACTTTGTCTTTCTTCGGCATCTACAATTTCACTTCTTTTGTTGTAAATTTTTCTCTTTCTATTGAACCTTAAAAATATTATTTTTTTGGTTCTGTCAGGCTATATAAACCATTGTTTAGTTATTTTCTTGTTGTTTATTTTATTTGGTTTAGTAACATATGCCACACAAGCTCACTTTTGGCATATGGAGCTGTCTTAGTGTACTTATATAAATTTAAATTTTTGAAATAAATAAATCTTGAAATCTTAAAATTCCATCATGGTACACATCCCCAGAAGGGATATTTTATTCTGACGATCCACTTCCTACTTAGCATTCCTGGTCATTGGTTTGAGGTTAAATGGTCGTAACTGCGGAGAACACTCGGGATCATACATGGGGGAATTAAGAAGTTGTCTATTTTAATTGAGAAAGTAAATTTATTCCGTGCATGGAATTTTCAGTCAAATATTTTGACAAGTTTTATTGAAAGAAACAAATTTGCTCAGTAGAATCACACTTTAAATGAAGGAAAAAATTCTTAAATGTATGTCAATACATGGAATAAGGACAGGTAAGGGTGAATATGGATGCAACCCGCCAAACGTAGCCCAGCGGCTTCCCTTTGTTTCTCGCAGTTATTTCTAACACACTCACACAATTTCTCCAATGGGCAGGAATGCTAAGAAGGAATTGGACAATCCCAGAAGAACTCTGCTTCGTACTGCTATTGGTAGTGACTAATTCAATATTATTCCCACCTACATAAGTGATCTTTATCCCTGGAAGAAACCCCATAAGGCATTCTATGGAGACAAGGCCTTAGAATGAATTACGGCGTAAAACCCTCTAGTCAGGAACCAAGTTTATTAAGTGCTGGACCGTCCCTCTTCAATGCCATTGCTGAAGCATGGACTTCAAGCAAGTCTTCGACAGATTAGAGATTGACGGCTCATGAGTGAAAAGACATGGAAAGTTGAACTTAGAATTGAAAGACAACAAAAGCTCATTACCATTCTGAGGAGAGTTACTTCTTTGTTATGATGATCTGGTAAAGATGGGACCTTGATTGCGATCGCAGTGAAAAATCACTGTGATTCGAAAATCACCGTGCAATAATACTACTGTTACTGTGACTTTCAAATGACGCCTCCTGATAATTGAATTCTCACAAATGTAAACAAAAACAAACAAGATGTTAGAGAAGGCAGAGAGTGTGTGTACTGTGTACTCTAGAGTACCATAGCAAGAGCGAGAGTATGGACAGATCGCTTCATGGAGGGCTTAGGGCCCAAAAGTGCAGCCCAACGCACAAAATTTCACTGCCAGTCTGCAGATTCCAATTTCAACTAAGATGGCTAAGAATACGAGTTTTTAGAGCCAAAATAAGTGGGAACCTCACAACCTTTCCCTTTTCTTTATTAATTTCAAAGGGGGCTCGGTTTTCCCGCAATACCATCAACCAATTAGAAGGGCGGCTTCATTTACTAACTGTGACGTAGAAAAGCACATTTCTCCGTTTCACCCTCCGTATTTTCTCAATTCAGTTATGCCAGGGACGAGTTCTATAGGACGCCGTTCTGTTGTGAGCGGGTGATTGCAGCGCATTCTCGCGTAGGATCCTAGTCAACTCAGAGGATCCTTCCCCCCGAACCTCGACTCATCCATCGCCCGCTCCAAAAGTGAGGTTAAGCTGGAGATTGAAAAATAACACATAAGGCGGCTGAATTCTTGAAAAATAAGTATATTTTTGGCGTTTTTCGACCCCTTTCGCCAAGGAAGGGCCCGCCGTATGTATTAGTATGCTGAAAAATTCGATTTTTTGCAGTTATACGCGATCCTACGGATTTTAATGAAGTCCAACAACTGATAACAGCAGTGAGTTGCGAGGATCCTACGCGAGAATGCAGCACTAGTACCTGCTCACGAATTTTTACATTGACTCTTACGGGAGTCCAGGGTCCTATAGAACTGGTCCCTGGTTATGCTAGTCATAAGTGAGTAGAGTCCCTTTAGTCATAGAGTACCATAGAGAAAAAAAAAGGAGGTGTTTGCATTTCGGGCATCTTGGAATATTTTGATGACTTGATGACGTAGGTGGGTACAGCTAGGTACAGGGACGTCCCCTTCACACTGTACCCACCTACGTCATCAAGTCATCAAAAAATTCCAAGATGCCCGAAATGCAAACACCTCCTTTTTTTTCTCTATGATAGAGTACCATCACCAGAGAGTATAGAAGGTATACCTTCTATACTCTCTGGAGTACACTCTAGTTTATTCTATGTCGGCGCAATGCCCTTTCTTAACCTTCATAAACGGTTCCACACTGACTAATGTTGACATTAATTCGTTATCAGTACATGAAGCAGTGAATGTGAAAAGTGTAACTTCCTCGTTCAGCGCAGAGTTTCTTGGCTATCCCAGTTTTATAATATCCATTGTAGCAGGCAGCTTCGCAATAAATAGCATATTAACGATAGGTTACTCTAAGTACTTCGTTCGGTGAAGCTTCATTTTTGATCCACTCTCCCACAGCATTCCTTGCAAGTCTTACTAGCTTCAACTGCAATGGCTTTAAACAAACTTAGTCTTGATAAATTAAATTTGACAGGAAAGAGAATTCTAATGAGGTAATTTCATCTTACTATTGTTGTAATATATATGTCAACTTATGTTGCGTACTTCGAACCTCCAACCCCCTCTCTTGAGCAAATTATTTCTGCGAGATGATCATAAAACTGTGCTCCAAATCAAGTATGTGATAAAGATGAGCAAACTCTCTACACTTGGGATTAACCTAGTCTGTGCTGTTCTGAATACCAACTTATGTGACGAATTATTTAGAGAGATACAAATAGCAGCCAGTAAACATTCAGGGCATTTACAAGAGGGTGATGTATGAAAATGTCCAATTGATTATGTCCAACAACAGAAATGCTAAAAGTCAGAAAATGTCCAAAGAGCGGAAAGGTTCAAAGTCTTGATTGTCGAAAGAGGCATCTTGTCTAGTGATGTCCACGCAATGGCCATTATTGGATCGCCAGATCTCTCTAAACCCTCCATTCACTTACAGGGATTAAAAAAATTAGCAGAGTTGCTGCAAATCTAGTCTTTGAGCCCCCAAAGTGAATGACTACCCTGCTAATATAGCTGTTCATTCGCTCTCCATGGGTGCATAGAGAGATTGACCAGATACAGAGGTGGACTCTCAATGTAGCGTGGGATGTCCCCTCCATACAGCCTGAACTTGGAGAACTTGATTTGGGCTCAGGAGTTGATCCCTGAGAATACCAGTGCACCATCAAGTTGCCCATGAAACCTTACTGAAAGATAAGCACCGAAATTGCACATCCTTGACATATGCACAAACTTTATTCAAAAGGTGAACACTTTTCATCCAATTGCATTTCAAACGCTTTTGTTGGATGAAAAGTTGGATTTTACGTATGATATAGGCTTTGAGAACGTGATAAGATGAAAGGTTGAAACAAAACTTGAACCTCTCGTTTCTTTTAACTTTCCAGCTGCTCAAATTTGGTGGAAAGTTAGAATGGAATCTTATGACTGTTTATTGTAACTATACTTATCGTTACAAACCAGGGGCAAATGAAAATATTGGAATTCTGAAGTTATGATGATATCATACTAGAACGGTGTCTAAATCATAGGAGGAGGGGCATTCAAGGCTTTTTCCGCCCCACCTAGATTTTACTAAATGTTTCATACCTACTCCAAGCACTAGTCTGGGTGGACTCCAGTGCCCAACATTTTATTGAATGGAGCCCCTACGAAGGTGCAGCAGGGCTTCTAACACAAAATTCTGGAATTGAAAAATAAGTATTGTAGTAGATTCTTTTGATTGTTATCACTCTTTCTAAAAATCAATCTTGTATAATTTTTCCCACTCTTTGCCTTTTAGGCGATCAAGAGGCATCTGATGCATTTAAAGGGGCCCTCCAATCCATTGTTGTCATTTCTGGTCCATTTTCAGGGGTTCTGTCAATTCTTGTGTAAAACTGAATTTGAACTACAAACCTGTGTAAATTTTTGGTGAGAACTCACTGAAAAAAAAGAAAAAGAAATGTTTCAACTTTTTCCTATTGTGCCCAATTTTCGAGAAAAGTTGTCGTGAAGAGCCATAAATGGTAAAGATCTGATATATGGGCACGGGCACGCCTAAGTTTAAGAAAGTGGGATACAACTTTCGTATTGATGTTGGTAATAGCTCTTATCCATTGGTGCAACATATCAAAATAACATAAAATTGTAACCGGGGTCACCCTTGTTATGAAAATTGACCAAGAAGTCATACATAGGGGTCTTGTTTCCATGTAAGGTAGCTTTTTCTTAATGTTTTTCGACCTCAGTCATCCTTCTAAGCGGTGTGTTCCGAGCAATTTTTTGTACACTTTTCATTATAGGTCATAGAAATGGCCTCTAATGAATTTCTATGGACCATGTGTCTAGTGCTGCCATATTTGGCCCATTTTTAGGGGAGTTTAATTTTTACGCTTTTTAAACTTAATTTATCCTAAAACCATTTACATTTTTAGAAAGACTGCTAAGGAATGAATTTAAAATGCTCTATGTAAGTAAGTAAGGGCCAAACTGACCGGCAAGGCGCCCTCAAGGGGCCAAGGCAACTGGCAGGGACCCTGCCATCGTGCACCCTGAAGTTGGACGGTGCTCCTTAACCTCGTACTGTTCTACATTTTGAATTCTACACTCTGTATTCCCCTAAGGCTCGGCGACTGTCTGATAGCTAATGGTAGGTCTCATCAAAGACCGTGGCAGACGTTGCAGAGTACGGATTTTCGGAGCATGGCCAGGCCTCCACCAAGTTAAACTGTGTTGTTCAGCGCTGGTAGTTGCGCACACCACGAGTGATAACAGATTTTCTCACAACCCAGTCGAACAGTGCAAACGGATTACTTACTGGGTGACCATGTCCCTCCCTCACCCAGTAACCTCGAAGAGTCAGGGTATAGGTAGGTAGTTATCCATGGTCACGATTACTGATATCTGAGTGTCCTCAATTATCAGTCACCTCCGAGGATTAAACCCGGGACCTTAGTGTTGGCAGCGAACTGCCTTGACCACTACACCACTGAGGCTGACGAAATTTTTTAACTGTACTAAAAGGTAACTGTTTCCTACTTTGCCCAAAGTTTGAGAATAGTTGTCTGAAAGTGCCAAAAATTGGATTTAATTGGGTATCACGTTGAAGGTCCTAGGAGGTGAACGGTGACTTACATGGGGAATTGTGTGATGCTGTCTCCATTTAGTTTCTATTCTCTGGTATCTGGCGTGTAGTCTGTGGTAGGCATCTCGAAAACCGAGGAACATCTCGAGGATGTAGGAATAAACTGGTGAGACGGAAAGGAGCATGACGATAAAGCACTTCGCAGTTCCGTTGTGTCATGTTAATCCCTGCCATTATTTTTTCAGTAAGACGTAATGCAATTTTTCATATTGGACAAGTTATTTATCGTGAAATAAAATTAAATTTACAATACACTTCCTAGGACTCTGACGTTATGATTTATACAACTTTTGGCAGTATAGGACAAAATTTCTCGAAAATTTGGCATTATAGAAAAGACCTATTTAGGTAGAACATCATTTTTTCTCTTCTTTCCAAAAACGTACGCGGTATTCCGGTTAAAATAAGTTTTATGTGCGTGAATTTGGAAACAAAACCTATTATGGCGACAATGGAGCGGAAGATCCCATTAATTCATCGGAAGCCTTTTTTTGGCCGGAAGTTGAAAGGACGCTAATAAATTACATGTGGTTCAGCTCTTGAAAGAGTGATGTCGGTCTAGAAAGTCAACGAAAGTAATTACTTTTCAATTCCAGGATTATGTATTTGCAGCGCCGCTGCGTCCTTGCACAGGCTCCGTTCGGTGTAAT